TTTTATTTTCGTTCCTTTTGCGCTATCCTCGTTTGGGCGAATTTGAAACAGGGCGAACTCGAATTATATAATATTTTCTTAAACAAAACTATGACTGGGCGAATTTAAAACGAGGCAAAATTAATTGCAAGTGTTGAAGGGCGAAAATAACCCTGTATACAGTAACAAAATTATGTTCCTGTTTAAAGTGTGCAATTGGTGTTTAAATGTGCAGGGAGGTCCGTGGAAAAGCCCCGCTAGGCTATAAAAACAGACATTCATTAGCAACTTGATGCAATTTACAGTAATCAGACTGCAAAAAACGACACATCGATCTGGTCTAAACAAGCATTTCATTTTAGAGTCAAATAATTGTTTCAACTCTACAGGTTTGACACGTGTTTCTGATCTGATACTTTTTTGATGACGTTCGTGATTTATTGGAGAATAATGTCCGCGGCCTTTCCTTTGATTTTTTCAATAATCTTGGTAGAATCTGGGACTTTTTTCTTCTATATTCATTTAAAGTTTCTTAAAGCGTCGTTTCAACTTCTAAATCAATGCAAACTGTTCTCTGGTGCGCCGTAATGCCATCAAAGCTCAGCACTGTTCATGTGTTATGTTCACCACTTTCCCACTTCGAATGCCCAGGAAACAGCTGCAACGAATTGACCATGTTTCTTGAAATTTTAAAAGACGACAAAATAGATTGTTTAATCGAATGAGAATATTTTCAATCTAAACTTATCTTTTTAAATCGTTTATTTCAAATCAATACTCAGTTTATTCTCTAATTAAACCTTCGTTTTTTACCGTGCGCCGTAGGTCCTAAGACCTAACCCCATGCACAGTCAAGCATCATAAAACATTTTTTGTCTATCTTTTATCTAAAAAATTATAATGCTCCTAAAAATGATAAATAAACATTCACTGTAAAGAATGGGTGGACTTAAGGTTATCCGATCCTCAGGTTTTGAAAATCAGGCATTGAGTAATTGAAAACGCTCACAAAGATGTCTCTAAATTCTCAAATTAAAATGTATTTACCCACGGTGTTTCTTTAAAATTCATCTTTAAATTTAATCATATTATATAGGGAAAATTAGTAAATCTCAAATAATTTTTTAGGGAATGCGATTTGAACTACCTACTGCATATTTTTTAATTGATAATTGATTAAGAAATACATTTTAGAAATAAAAATCATAGGTATCCAGGCTTTTAAAGAAAATTGCATGAATTTTACACTTATTTGAACTTTACTTTCTCCTACTTACTTCCATTGTTTTATAATGCATAGTGTATGAAGTGTTTCCTTTCGAAGAAAACACCGTAAATCACGTCTAATTTCAAATCATGCATATAAACATTGGTAACTAAAGCTAAATTAAAAGAAATTTGATTTTTTTAAAATATGCAAGTTTTACTTCATTTTATGAGGTACAAATGTCACTTTTTTAAATACTGTTTCTTATTACTTTAAAGAACATTGAATCATACATAGAGGCATAAAATGAAAATTGTTGCATGAAAAAATTCCAATTTCAAGCTTTATTTAAAGACTTTTTGAATTAAATTATAAATTAAAGAGTTATCCTTCCTGGCTGAGGATCGTATATCCTTAATACCCTGTTTTGGATCTTTTTGCGACCCCTCTACCAAGCTGTAAATGAAGTGAATCCCAAATATATCATGAGCAATGGAAAAAGCTACATATACCTGGTTATATTAGGTGGAATATTTGTGCAAAAAGAATGCCATGTTGTCATGTATCAAAACTGATGCAACGAAATATGAGTATCGTCTTCCGGAATTCGACATGTACCCGGGTGGTTTTTATGTCACACAATATTTATAGGAGGCAGGGCTATCGATCGTCGTCATTGTTGACATCTCTTTCTCTCTCTCTATCCTCCCTCGCTCCAGAAATTCGAACACGTGTTAAGCATATTATAGCGATGTCATTATTTTAACAGTGTGATGACACTGACACGCAAAATTAAAACAATAGTTATTTAGCTAAATTCTGAAAACAGGAACAAAACACAATTTAGATCGAGGTCAGATTGAAGTACAATGTAACTGTTTTCACGAGTACACTCGCAGTTTGACATCACGTGATGAATTGTAATACATGTACATGTATTTAACAGGTCAATCGAAGACATAACAATGGAAGCGAGACGTTCCTTTCGAACATGTTTTTTGTTAAATTAAGTGTGATTACACGTTTGTCGGCTCTTCTCCGTTTAATATAACAATATATTGTTCAATATAACAATGTATTGTTCAATTTACAACTACAGTTTTCTTAAGAACAGCCGACAAACATGGACTGACTCTGTATTCAGACGAAGAAAAACGTGTGACCCTGATTATCTATTGTTACATGTATTCAAGAAATCTTCAGACACCATTCCCTTCATATTTATTTAATTTACCTCGAAAAAAGCGTGTAATTTCAAATCCGTGCCATTTATACAGGTTAAGATAATTATCGGGGGTTAATTTATTTGATGAAAAAAATTAACATTTTGTGAAACTTAACGAGGCCGAGTCTAATTATTTCTGCCCTAGGGATTTTGATAATTTTTTGATAATTAATTTTTACTGTTATATTTATTGTTTTAGGATTGAAATATCGAATGTTTACCACCCCGTTTTCTTAGTGGGCCATCTTAAATGTTGTCAAACTTTACTATTGGACCGTATGGGAATTTGTTGGAAAATCGCCAAATTATTACATGTTTTCAATATTTTTTGTACTTCTGCCCTAGGGATTTTTTTTTCATTCAAGTAAATGAAAGTAAATGTAAAATGTTGCCAAATTGTGAAATTTCAAAAAAGTTCACCATCTCGACTGGTCTAGATCGAAGCCAAATACCTCTAAAATTGCCATATTACGGTAAAAATACATATCTATGGTGATGTTGTAAGAGCCATTTCAACGTTCTTTTTCCAATAATTGTCGTAAAATCACATTTTCAGATCAGTAGGAGTTACAAATAAGGTTAATTTTGTATCAAAATTAAAATGATTAATGACTGCATGAAATTAAAAAGCTGCGCAAAGTGATGCGCACTCGAATTAGACCCGGCCTCGTTAAATTAAATTTCCGGCATTTTTTCTGGCCAGTTAAGTCCACCCATTCCTTCATCCTAATGCATATTTTTTTCGAGGGAGACGTTTTGTTTACGATTTTACTGAACGATACTCCTATTTTACCTTTTTATAAGGATTTTTTTTTTGTTTTGCGAACGACGCTTACAAAGATCTTGATTACTATATATCTTCTTGGTGGAATAATATTATTTGGTAGAAATCAAAACCAGAATGTAATAAATGTATTCTGGAGTTGTAGTATTGCTGATATCCTTTGTTCAGATAATTTTTCCATTTTTTTTTAACATGTAATATTTTGTCTCAGGCAATTACTTACACAACTACTTATTTCAAATCCTGTGTCGATAGCTCACGAAATTTTATTACACATACATGTATAAACTTTAAGATTATTTAAGAAATGTTTTTGTTCGTACAATGTGCATAACAAGTTACTAATCCTTGTAGATATGACATTATTTAGTTATAAATTATATAGATTTCTTTGGCATCAGTGCGATATATTACGTGTTATTATATCAGTGTAACACTGATTCAAGGAATCACTGTCTACTTTGTACAGGTAAAGTATGCCAGGGCATCAACGATAGTGGGAAACATGGAATAATTTTCGTAACGGGCCAAGCCCATTATGCATGAATTATCCAATGTTTCCTGCTGTCGTTGATGTCCCTGGCATACTATACTAATTAGACTGTGATTCCTTATATTTCCATTTTATTGTGAAGCAGCAAATGTAGATTTAGACTATAAAAATGTAAACATAGATTTAAATTACACGAGTACTCCTATGTCAATTTTAATAGTCCTGGCATACTGAAGTTAAACACAAAGACACGATATTTACATGCATACTTGGCCCCTTTAGCGTCAGACACAGAGACAGATTTAACTTATGAATGAGAAAAGATGGACTTCCTTATTTCTCATGTTCTTAATATACTTTAATTTTTGATTCGGTTGCTTTGAAGTTTGATATGCTTAAAATTTTTGATTTGCATAAGATCTTTTTAAAGTGAGGTAAGCTATGAATAAGCAAGTTGATAAAACAAGAATATCGACAGTTTTCTTTAAAGAAGTCCGACCCTTTTGTCCTGCAAACTAAGATATGGGTAATTAAAAATGCAAACAAAAATGCTTCTGAATTTGTAAAATAATGGATATTTACCCATGGTACATGTATGTTCATCATTAAAGTCAATCATTATATAGGGAAAATTATTAAATCTCAAGTATGTTTTCAGGAAATGCATATCAAAGTACCAGCTATGTACTACATGTAGTATTTCCTATTGACATTTAATCAACAATATACTTTTGGATGAGACAAGATGTGTTTGTGAAACACTGATGACAAGATATGGCAACGTTAACATAGCACTATTTCAAATGCAAAACAAATATGTTGTAATGAAAAGTAAGGCCTTCTCAAAAGAAATACAATTGTGAAATATGAAAGTATAATAACTTCCTTTTCAAAAATTAAGTAAAATTATTTAAAAGTAGATTAAACACAAACATGTACATGTAGGTCATGTCAAAAGATCAAAGTTATTGATATCCACGAAAAGGTTCTGTCTCAAGTACCTGGTACTACAAATTAAATCTTATTGGCAAGATTAAAGTCTTTTTAAAAAAGGTCAACCCCCCTAGGACAAGGTCAAAGAGGCAAAAGTGTTGGTATTTGAGGAAAGGATAACGCATCAGAAGTATGAAAGCCCAGTTAGTAAGCCCTTTAAAGCCATAAAATCAATACATATTTTTTTTAAATTTATTTTAAGAGTTACTTATTGTATGAATACACAATTAAATTGTATGTTTTGAATAGTTGTACCCACCTCTTTTTTTTTTGTCTTGACTGTACTGAGATGTATATTAAAAATACTTTGATTTCTTTCAGATACTTAACCATCAAAATGTTTTCCAAATATATTGCCATTCTTTTCATATGCTTAATTCTAACTGATGGAGTCATATCGATGACCAAATCAAAGGTAGGATAAAAAATATGCATTTATATCTCAAATTAACAAAAAGCATGCTTTTATTTTAATTACACTCTTGAGCCTTCGTATTATCATTAGTGTTGGCAACGAGTACCCGGTTAACCGGTTAACCGTCGAACGTTGCGAGTATCGGTTAGTAAAACTGCTATTCGGTTACTCGGATAAAATAAATTCTACATATATAAGGCATAGAAAATGAATGTATTATGATTTTAAAAATGTATACTAACTTACACATTTCCCTAATTTTAGGTACCGTTAGACTTAATCTAGTGCATGGTTGTAGTGAATCAAACTATTTTGATTGGTTTTCACAGTTTATATAATTTATAGCTTTGATTGCTTAGGGTATACATATTTTGAAGGCCTGAGTTACATGTATACCGCTAATTACCCCATTTGATAATTTAACGAGATGCCACCGCAGACATAATAAGCTTGGAGTTGTAACAAAAGAACAGCTGATTCAAAATCTGTTTAATCACCTAAGCATAAATTATTCGGAAACCAGCGATTTACTGGACACTCCACATATTAACTATTAATTATGGAGTATGTAAATAATTATTCTCCTTGATTGCGACATATTTCGGGGGCTGAAAAAGAAAGTGTAAAATGGTGATTGACGATGACGTATTTATTTGACTTGGTGTGTCGAATTCCCTATTAATTTTCTTTATTTTAAAATCTTAAATCTTTGACGATATCGTATGTGTGTATTGTAAATATAATGTCCCTATACAGTATATTTGTGCATTACTACTACCGATTGGTATAGAATAAGATAAATAAAAGATATTGATACTTTTACCAAAAATCATCCGAGTAACCGGGTACTCGATCGGAAGATGAAGCAAGTAACCGGTTTCTAAAAATCGTCCGATTTGGCAACACTAATTATTATAGAACATGCAGTAGATTTTATTTGGAAATAAACATTTAATGTTTTTGATAGTTTTCTCGCAGTTAATTCCTATAATCTTTCGTTGACTACTGATTTTTTGTTTTAAAAAGCAATTGATATCATGAAGAAAACGAATATAAGTGTATGAAAAACAAATATAAGCACAATTGCTAGTTGTACAAAATAGCTCAAATAGAATACATTTTTCTTAATTTAATTTTATTTTTATTACTTATTTAAAACTAACTTGGGCAATGCCAAACTCCTATACCTGAGAAATCGTGGATTAGACAAGGTTAAGAAAAATGAGGAGAATGAATGTTGTAATTAAATTAGGAGTTTGAGGAAATGTAGGTTGAAAAGGTAAATAAAAATGAAGTTTGACAGAACAAAGTAACGCTTGACAAAAGAAAAATAAAGAGGTTCCACGGTGTATTCTTGTATTTTAAATTCTAAAGGTAGTTATCTAAACTGAAAAAAACTAAGTAAAACAAAAACACTGGCATTTAATTAAGAAAAAATAATTATTGAAGATAAGGTTCAAACTCGCATTATTGGATAAGTTATTTTAACAGTCACCGTGATTATTTAAAGACATATATGTATATATTGTTAAACTCATATTTTAAATACGCTACACTTATTTTGTATTTCGTATTTCGTAAAGATAAGAAATATGTCATTAAAAATTATTGGCCCAAGGTTAATAATCATAATCAGTTAAATAAAATTATGAAAATGAAGACATTTCTTAAAATAATGTGCGTTTTTTTTTTTTTTTTTTTTTTTTTTCATTCAGAACAATTTTCAAAATAACCGTTGCAAGTATAAGAGAAAATCTGCAAACATGAGGACATCAAAACTTATAAAGAATGGAGGACATTCAGAAATAAATGGCACAATATATCGATGTAGTGACAGTTCAATGTTGAAGAATTTACGAACAGGTAAGACATTTAAATTTCACACAAACACCGAGAGAAAGAGCGAGAGAGAACATGACTTTATAATACATGTATATAATATTAGATAAGCTTTATATCAGGTGTGAAATGGACAACTGGATTCCAAGGCATTATTTTATTTCGGTATATAAATGGCTCTTCCCCTACAGTGACTATTTTCCTTAATGTTGATGCGGTTGTCAGTCGTGAACAAGCGTTTAGTCAACAGAAAACAGGGATACAGTTTCTTCGATTTGAAGCTCATCTTCCTAAATCGACCCAAAAATACTGGAAGCCGATATGGTATATAGTAACTGCGATAATGTAGCCCTCTCCGATTTTTTTAATCTGATGTTTTCTGGAGAGGGCTACGATTCTACAGCATCTCCGTAATGGTGCATTTTTTAAATACGGGCGACTGCAGGCAGAATAAATTGTTTTTACATTCAACTGACATCTATCAAGACGTGATACTTATACACTGTCGACAACATAGACCGTTTAAAGCGAAAAGCATGTGAAATAGTTCTGAATGTTACCTGTCGCTTCTACTCAGCATTTAGACAGTTCGCGCGTGACGTACTGAGACTTGCGCTTGAAATTTAGAATAACTCAATAAAGCAGCTGTCGGTTTTTATTAATACAATTTTAAATGTAATATCTGTAAACATTGATAAATGAAATCATGCCATTTTTTAACGTAAACAGCGATATTTAGGCTTAAAATGAGATAATTACAAGGACATCCGCTCCCAATTATCTCTAATCTCATTGGTTGTCCCAAAACAAAATCTGTCAAGGTCAGTAAACATGGTGGATAAATTTAAGTTGGGATGTTTACATACACGAAAAATAAGCGATATATGGATTGTTCTGTATATTCTTGGATCGATTTAGGTCTTAAGCTTGAGTGATTACATTTTGGAAGTCCGGGGAAGACATGTTAATTAAATAGATATTAACTGACAATTTGAGCCGAAATCTGCGCGGGATCGAATAGCTCCTGTATTTGAACTTTACAATATATTTTTTGAATTGAATGTTTAGCTACTTTTAATAAACGGATCCTGTTTAAAGGTAAATTTACTATGTTTATGCTTTAAGTTATTAAATCCATTTAAAATTTAAAAACACAGGACCCTGTCTTTTACCGAATAAAAATATTTATGCATGCGCGGATCTAGAGAGAGGGTGGGGATCCGGAGTCCCTTGTGCATGTACCATCAATTAATTGATTGTATTTTGTTTGACGTCCCTCTCGAGAATTTTACATTCATATGGCACTTGCCGGTGGAGAGCTGGAAATTGTGTCCTATACTCGGCACCAAGGTTATTGATCAGGGAGGGATCTTTTTTCGTTACAGCACCTATTGCGACACGGGTCCTCGGTTAATACGGTGTCATCCAAAGGATCGGTCTCCACGTCCAACTGTGACTTAGAACTCGCCACTTTTGGACCAACCTCTTACTTCAAGACTCTAGAGCAGACGCTCGAACCACTGAGCCACGCGGGCGACCAGTTGTACTATCAAAAATACGCTAAAAACGTTAATCCGCCACTTCAAACGTTAAGTTACATTAGATATCTAGACTTCAAAGTCGCATGACGAAGCTCGTCAGGGTTAAAGGAAACAGCCTGGCGTCTGGTTGAAACTATGGGCGTAGTGCAATTTTTGACAAAAGATATTGTAGAATATTTTTTGTTTCTTTTAAGATTTCTATAAAGACTTTTATGTCTAATGTAAGAACAATTCACATTTAAGCTTGGACTTTCAGTAAGGTGTGGCATTCACGGCGCTACCTAATTAGCGTCTGCCAAATGGCGAATAGATTATAATTGGTTTAGAAAGTAAGACTCGTAGCATCAGGAACTTTAAATTGTTGTTAACAACGATGAGACGACATAAACTCCACCTGTTTTCAGGAGGAGGCAATGTTATTAGTTATCCGATACACTAGTTTCAATTTTGCCCGAATTTATTTTCCAAGTATATTTCAACAGTGAATGAAAGCTGCATGTAAATGTCACGATTTCCTGAAATTCCAAGCCCAGTTGAAAATTGCATGATTTAATATACAAAACCCAAATCTCATCGTCAAAACTCATCGAATCCTGATAACATATATTGAAAAAATTCCATATTCATAACTGTTTTTTTTTTTTATTTTCATTCAAAATAACAGTTTAAAATATTATTTTACATCTTGTTTACCTATTAATTATGCACTTAAACGCCTTATTTGATCAAGCTAAACTTATAAATCATCATTAAAGGAAATCGTTTTTCAAATTTGATAAACCTGTAGACACCTTCATTTACTAGATCTTGGTCTTAAAAAGAAAAAAAAAACTAATTAGGATGACTTAAAATCATATTGAAAAAAACACGCCTCAGTATAAAAGATTGTCGATTATGAAGTTGGACGAGATAATGGATGAGTCAATGTCCAAGTCGCATTTGATGATATTGTTTTTATAGGTCATGTAGGTTGTGACTGAACTCTTAAAGTAAGCGGATTTTGAGGGGGAAAAATGTCATCACTAATATTTGAAACGAGAGCTGATTTCAATAGACATAATATATTTCTCTGATTGTGACGTGCTAACGCATTACTTGTCGTGAGGTTTAATTACTACATCACAATGTCACCACATCAAATGAAGTAGACGAGATCACTTCTCTCCCACGCTAAAGTCGGTTAGCTGCAACATACAGCTTGTTTGTACATGTTGGGTAAGAAAAAGTTGAGTGGACAGTCCTGATCTCGTTTTTTTTAATATTACCAGGATAGCTAAATGTCTTTGAAATCAATGAAAGCATTTAATGAATTTTTTCAGTCTATAATTACGATTATTAAAATTGGTCGATTATTTCATTCTTTTGCAATATTTATCGTAATATTCATATTTGCTTACATGTTTAAAAATAAAGTAGTGCATGATAAATTATTGATCATAGTATCACAGTGAAAAATACACCGTTTCTGAAAAACAAACAAACTTTATTTTGGACTCTACTTTACATTTTATGTTTTTGTTATATTTTATTTTCTCACGATATGTTACATTAATCTAATTGTTTAATTGACCAGTGACACTTTTTGGACTCTTGATTTGTCAAAATTACAAAGAGACAGAGTGCTATGTCTCAGGCTAATCTCTTATAAAAACATTTATGTAATTATCTGTTTCTCATGTTAAAACATCAAAGAATAGAGATTGGTGACATCAAAGGAAACCAAAATGGATTCAGAGTTGACTTTCTCAGGAATTGTATTAAAAATATCTACTGTGTCTCATATATAACTTTGAATTTCGGTAACATACCGTTTTAATAATATATCCAATAGATTACTTATCCTGTGAGTTTCACACGTTGGTCCCGCAACTATGGGTCTAATTGTGAAATTAGCTGGACTTGCAACACTTATGTATGTTGATCCGGAAATTTTGCATTTATCTTGAATTGTCTGGCTTTTATGTATCTTTGGCAAACCATAAAAGTTACTGGTTTTAATGTTAAATAATAAAAGATATGCGGTTTCCTTGGCAGTAAGTTTTTGTCCGTATTCATCTATGATAGTCTCGAGTTTTTGCATGACCTTCTTACTTTCTATGTAAGTTATTTTTCGTAGTATAAATTATTTTCTAGTACAGAAAGACACATTGATTTATAATATTCGCGATCCATTATGACTAAGGCGCTTCCTTAATGATAATGTTTTCATCATGTCTTAAATTTTCAATCGCATTCAATTCTAATTTGTTCAAGTTATTTCTGGTGGTATTTTTACTGCCGCATTGTTCTGCAATCTTCTACAAAATGTGTCCGTATCATTTGTAATTTCCTTTAGTAGTTTTTGGCGTAGGGGTAAAGTTTAATCCCTTTTCGAGAATTTTAGTTTCAATATCCGTAAACATTCCACAGATGAATTAATTACTTTTGGTTCGTGTTTTTGGTCCGGTCTTTTGATTTGCGCTACGTTATTTTGTTTTGTCTTGGGTCATATCCTAAAAAATAATTTCCCGGCCTTGTGTAATTTCCCGGCGATTTTAAACTGGAAGCGAATTTACAATTAAAACATCAATGTCATGCACCAGCTCTAATCTTATTTATGTGATAACCTGTGCCGGTTGCGGTGAAAATTATATCAGCCAGACAGGAGACACCTTGAGACACAGAATGACCTTACACCGACAACAAATTAGGGAACCAAAATACCAGTGTACCGCTGTAAGCGAACACAACAGAAAATGTGCCAAAAATAAATTCCCCAATTTTACTGTTTTTCCTTTCTACAAATTCCGAAGTGATACCACAGAAAAAGAACGTGAAACTAAAGAAAAAACATTTCATAAACATACATAAACCTGTTTTAAATGCAGCATAATTATATTTCGTTTAAGAAATATTCTTTTACCCGCACAATATAACTGTGCTATCTTTTTAAAAAATCTAATTTCCCGTAATAACTTAATTACGTATTATCATGACGTCATAATTAACTTTGCTAAAGCACGACTAAGTTTTAGCGCTTTATAATGTCACAATATGAATGTTGATTTTGTGTAACTTAGCATTGTATTGTCAAACTCCTGAAGATTGGAAATGAAACTATGGAAATATAATATATAGGTATTATATATATATATATATATATATATATATATATATATATATATATATATATATATATATATATATATATATATATATATATATATATATATATATATATATATATATATTATACAATTATTGCTGTGTTTTGAGGTCAATACAATGATTTAGCCATCTGAGGAGTACAATATTCACCGAGCCCGGAGGGCGAGGTGAATAGTGTACTTCGAAGATGGCTAACTCATTGTATTGACTGAAAAAAACACAGCAATAACTGTTTTATTATATGATTCACTAATAAAATGATAAAACCCATTACTTTTTTGCATTTAATTAAGTCCTATCCAAATACAATGAAGAGAAGTTTAATTAAAATGATAATCAACCTTACAGGTCTTATATATATTTTTTTTATATAAAGTTTTTTTTATCAATTTTAGTTACCTTGAAAAAAAAATTATGTCAGTTTTTTTTTTCAGGATAGATTTTTAAAGAAAGGATTATTATCAGGGAAAACTGACTGCCAAAAAAGTAAAAACTGTTGTTCAGTAAAAGTGTCGGAGGGGTGTCTCTGCATCCCCTCTTACCACCCTCACCTGAAAATATATATTCGCTTGTTTTGTTCACATGAAAAAAAGTCATAGTAGTTTAAATGGCTTTCAAAAACAATTTGTATCAATTTGGAATTTCCCGATCTATTTTTAGATCAATGTAGAGGAAATAAATCCTTGTATTGACCTGGAACGTCACGTGCAGGTCAATACAACGTAGTATTTTTCTAACATAGTTGAATATCAGCCAATCAGACAGGTGGAAATTATTCAATCATATAATAAATATATATATTTATTATATGATTGAATAATTTCCATCTCTCTGATTGGCTGATATCCAACTATGTTAGAAAAATACTACGTTGTATTGACCTGCACGTGACGTTCCAGGTCAATACAAGGATTTATTTCCTCCACATTGATCTAATAATAGATTGGGAAATTCCAAATTGGTACAAATTGTTCTGGAAAGCTATTTAAACGACTGTGATTTTTTTTTCATGTGAAAAAAAAACATAAGCGAATATATATATGGGGGGGATGGTAAGAGGGGATGCAGGACCCCCGTCCAACATTTTTACTTCACAACATGTTTGGTTTTTTGTTTTTGTTTTTTTTTACTTTTTGGCAGTCAGTTTTCCCTGAAAATAAATACTCCTTCCTTTCAAAATCTATCCTATAAAAAGACTGACATTATATTATTTCTTTTTCATGGCAACTAAAATTGATTTAAAGAACATTTCAAATTGACACTACTGGTAAGGTTTATTTACATTTTAAGTCTGTTTCTCTCTTGTATTTGGCTACGACTTAATGAAATGCAAGTTAACAAGTAATGAGCTGCATCATTTTATCAGTGAATCATATAATAAAACAATTATTGCTGTTTTTTCGGTCAATACAATGATTTAGCCATCTTCGAAGTACAATATTCACCTCGCCCTTCGGGCTCAGTGAATATTGTACTCCTCAGATGGCTAAATCATTGTATTGACCTCAAAAAGCAGCAAGAATTGTATATATATATATATATATATATATATATATATATATATATATATATATATATATATATATATATATATATATATATATATATATATATATAATACCTTGTTATTTTCGAGTTTTGAATAGACCAATGAATTTATGTCTAACATGGAATGTAATTCTTGATTTATGCTTAAAATTATTCTATCCATATTTTATCTGAAAACTACGAAAATGGACCCCATGAAATATGAAATTTTACAGCTAGTACACGAGTCATTTTCTCTTTTTTAAACAGAAATTGAATGGTTCAAATTCGGAGAAACATCAGTTACCGATCATCAAATAAGAAAAAGAATTGTGGAGTGGATTTTTTTTAGTATTTTTGCTGCTGCTGCTGCTGCTGCTGCTGCTGCTGTAATTATTTGTGCAATCTTTTGTCCAAGAAAAGGTAAGTTTTAAAACGTCATGTAGTTTAAATACTTTTATATGTATGATATATGAATGCATTTATTTTTTTATTACCAAAGGGAGAGAGAGAGAGAATATAAAACTAGAGCAATGCGCGTTGCAAAGCAACGAATAGGTCTTCCGTCCTGTTTGACCGGAAGTAGGTTTCATTTTTAATAAAAATGAGAAATAACGCCCAAAAATGGTTTAAATCCTCTAAAGCTATGTTAGTTAACGCAAAAATAAGCCATTTGTTTGCTACTTCCGGTTTGACCGAAAGTGACAACAACGCACAGAAAATGAATTTTTATGCTCCCTGAGACATATGTTACCCAATAACTTGTCAAAACGGCAGAATTACGCATTTTCCGACTACTGGACGTATTTTGACGACTCCATTAGATTAAGCTTTACATTTTCAACAACTTTGCTTCTATGATGTATAAAAAATTCTCAATAGTTTTTGAGATATCATGGAAAAAACTTTTGGCCCCTCTAGATCCCTTAATTTAGGGGTCAGCCCTTTTTCCGACATATGATTTGAAAGATCTTTTAATTCTGCACAAACTGTATATTAAGATAAAGAAAGAGAAGATAAAAAGCAAAATATGAGAAAATTTTGGATCTTATCAGCGTTCTAATTTTTTACTTCAATATAGCGCCATATTGAATAAAGAAACCGAAAAACAAAAACCGATGTGCACAACTTCAATCCTTCTATTATCTAAAATTAGTAGAATTTCTGCTCCAGCTTTAGCTGTCTCTGAGCCTTTGTCTGGAAACGGAAGCCTATAATTTTTTTGTTTAAATGGAAATAACTAAAAACCGGAAGTGACTTTTTAAAATTTTAGTCAGCATTCTGATAGGGTTAATAATCATCTATAACCTCTAAATATCTGAGCGAAATCCGTTGAGAAATGAGGGAGACATGAGGCCTCAAAGTTGCGGTCTAGGAAGCAGAAGAAAAAAAATAATAACTAGATACGATCTCGTTGCAAGCAACTAGTGGGTCTTCCGTCCGATTCTTGATAAGATAAGATAATATTTCGATTGAGATTTTCATTCAAAAAAATTGATAAAGATAGTGAAGAAGAACGATTTTGCCTCCATAATCTGTAAAAATACATTGAACATTTAAGTCTAAAAATTTAGACTTTTGGCCCGTAACGGCACTTAATATTAGAAATCACCCCTTTTTTCTTTCTATTATCTTCAAGATCACAGGATTTTGATCACTTTTTGTTCAACAGCTATTCAGATATTCTCTTTCGTTTTCAAGTTATTTGTTAGAGAAATATTCAGGGGCTAACCCTTCAACTCCCTAATGGGGACTTTTAGCGAAAAATAAAAGGTTGCATATTGTTCAGAACATGATTTTAAACATCTTTTGTTCAATATAGCGTATCAAAGCATTTCTCACTTTTGAGATATTAAAGGTCAAAGATTTAGCATTCTGGCCCCTTATAGCCCCTTATTATGCACCATACGCGTTCAAATCATAATATATAGTTGTGGATTGTTGAGATAAACATTTTTCCTTCAGTATTGTATAACAAAATATTGACTGTTACAGAGTTATCGATTGAAGATTTTTTGCCCCTCTTGAACCTTTATTTGAGTGTCCACCCCCTTTTTCGAGATTTTATCTTAAACCTCTCAGGATTTTGAACACTTTTTGTGCAACATCTATTGAGATATTCTCTTTCGTTTTCGAGTTATTTGTAAGAGAAATATTTAGGAGCCAACCCTTCAACTCCTGGGGACGTTTAACGAAAAATGAAAGGTAGCATATTGTTCAAAACATTATTTTGAATATCTTTTGTTCAGTATAACTTATCAAAATATTTCCCACTTTTGAGATAAAAAGTGTCAAAGATTTAGCATTCTTGCCCCTTATCATGCGCCATACGACATTCAAACCATAATATTTACTTTTTGATTGTTAAAATAAAAATTTTTGCTTCAGTAATGTATAACAAAATATTGACTGCGTTATCGATTGAAGACTTTTGGCCCCTCTTTGTCCTTAATTTGAGTGTCCGGCCCCCTTTTCTGGATTTTATCTTAAACATCTTAGGATTTGGAACACTTTTTGTTCAACAACTATTCAGAGATTCTCTTTTGTTTTCGAGTTATTTGCAAAAAAAAAAAAATATTTAGAGGAAAATCCTTCAACTCCTTAATGGGGACGTTTAGCGAAAAATGGAAGAATGCATATTGTTTAGAGCATTATTTTAAACATCTTTTGTTCAATATTGCTTATCAAAATCTTTCCCACTTTTGCGATATAAAGCATTAAAGATTTATCATTCTGTCCCCTAGTGGCCCCTAATTATGTACCATACGACATTAAAATCATAATATATAGTTGTAGATTGTTAAGATAAACAATTCTGCTTCAGTAATGTATAACAAAATGTTGACTGTTACAGAGTTATCGAATAAAGACTTTTGGCCCCTCTCGGCCCCTAATGTGATGAGTCAGCACTCTTTTCTTGACATCATATTACAGACCTTGTCATTCTGCACAAATATTGCTCAACATGTTTATTCAAAATAATTATACTTTAAAGATATGATGCAAAATGTCTTAAAAATCAGTCATGATTCGTGGTTCCATCACAGACATGGATGTCATCTAGATTTTGATCAAAGGGTGATAACTTCCGACCGGAAGAGTTTTTTTTTTTCAAAATCGAAGCGCCGGTACAAACTTCAGATAGAATCACATCAACACCGAAAATTTGAACCAAATCGAATGAGCCATCTCTGGGAAATCCTCTGCACAAAATCGGTAAGAAGAAAAAAAAATAATAATAACTAGATACGATCTCGTTGCGAGCAAAGAGTAGGTCTTCCGTCCGATTCTTGATGAGATGAGATAAGAGTTTGATTGAGATTTTCATTCTAAAATAATGATAAGGAATGTGAAGAAGAACGATTTCGCCTCCATAATCTGTAAAAAGACATTGAACATACAAGAGTTTAAAGTTCGACTTCTTTTGGCCCCTAACGACAATAATTTTGAACACTTTTTGTTCAACCACTATTCATAGATTCTCTTTCGTTTTCGACTTATCTGCAAAAGAAATATTTAGGGGCCAATCCTTCAACTCCTTAATGGGGACGTTTAGTGAAAAATGAAAGGTTGCATATTGTTAGGAACATTATTTTTAACATCTTTTGTTCAATATTACTTATCAAAATATTTACCACTTTTAGGATATAAAACGTCAAAGATTGAGCATTCTGGCCCCTTGTGGCCCCTCATTATGTACCATACGACATAAAAATCATTACATATACATGTAGTTGTAGATGGTTGAAATAAATATTTGTGCATCAGTAATGTATTACAACATATTAACTGATCAACTAATATAAACTTCCGGCCCCTGTTGGCCCCTAATTTGAGTGCCCAGCTCCTTTTTCTTTATTTCCTCTTAAAGCACTTAGAATTTTGAATACTTTTTGTTCAACAACTATTCAGAGATTCTTTTTCCTTTTTGGGTCATTTGCAAAAGAAATATTTAGGGCCCAACCCTTCAACTCCCTAATGGGGACGTTTAGCGAAAAAATGAAAGGTTGCATATTGTTCAGAACATTATTTATAGCATCTTTTGTTCAATATTACTTATCAAAATATTTCCCACTTTCGAGATATAAAGGGTCAAAGATTTAGCATTCTGGACCCTTGTGGCCCCTAATTATGTATCATACGACATTAAATTTATAATATATAGTTGTAGATGGTTATGATAAACATCTTTGTTTCAGTAATGTGTTACAAAATATTAACTGATAAAGAGTTATCGATTGAAGACTTTTGCCCCCCCTCCCCTTGGCCCCAAATTTGAGTGCCCAGTTCCTTTTTCTTGATTTTGCCTAAAAGCTCGTAGGATTTTGAACATCTTTTTTTCAACAACTATTCAGAGATTCTTTTCTGTTTTAGAGTTATTTGCATAAGAAATATTTAGGGGCCAACCCTTCAACTCCTTAATGAGAACGTTAAGCGAAAAATGAAAGGTGTCATATTATTTAGAACATTATTTTGAGCACCTTTAGTGCAATATTACTTATCAATATATATATCTGACTTTCGAGATATAAAGGATCAAAGATTAAGCATTCTGGCCCCTTGTGGCCACTAATTCTGTACAATACGACATAAAAATCATAATATAGTTGTAGCATGTTATGATAAACCTCTTTGCTTTAGTAATGTATTACAAAATATTAACTGATAAAGAGTTATCGATTGAAGACTTTTGGCCCCTCATGGCCCCTAATTTGAGTACCCAGCCCCTTTTCTTGATTTCATCTTAAAGCTCTTAGGATTTTGAACACTTTTTGTTCATAAACTATTCAGAGATTCTTTTTTGTTTTAGAGTTATTTGCAAAAGAAATATTTAGGACCCAACCCTTCAACTCCTTAATGGGGACGTTAAGCGAAAAATGAAAGCTTGCATATTGTTCAGAACATTTTTTAGCATCTTTTGTTTGATATTACTTATCAAAATATTTCTCACTTTGGAGATATAAAGTGTCAAAGATTTAGCATTCTGGCCCCTTGTGGTCCCTAATTATATATCATACGACATCAAAATCATTATATATATTTGAAGATTGTAGAGATCAACATTTTTTCTTCAGTAATATATAACAAAATATTGACTGTAAAAGAGTTATCGAATTAAGACTTTTGGCCCCTCTTGACCCTTAATGTGATGAGTCAGCACTTTTTTATGTCATCATATTAAAGATGTTATCATTCTGCAAAAAAAATTGTTCATTATGTTTTAACAAAATAATTTAAAAGATATCATTAAAAATATCTCAAAAAATCACTCATGATTTGTGTCCTAAATTTTGACCCATACCGAGCTTCCATACTAGGTACTTTCGGAAACTATCCAAACTCGTAGTAACATGGGGACATGTCCTCTATCATCA